CATCATCATCATCATCATCGTCACATAAACATCATGACGGCCATCTTGACTTGAACTTTAGTCACAGTCGCCGCCCTCGTCGATAATCATCATCGCGGGCACTGGTGTCGTCATGTCGTTGTTGGTATCGTGGTGGTGTTTTCATTCTGGTTGTCGTTTTGGTGACTGTGGTCGCTGTTCTTCCCCTCCTTGCCTCGTCGCCATCAACCATCGTCACCCATGTTCCCGCCGCCACCCCGCCACCACCCTCATCACCTCCAGCAGCTGCACCAGCAACAGCACTGCAAGCACGAGCTGATTCGGGCAACACCAACGGAAGTACCGCGGCGGCCGTAGCGGGACAGTGGCAGCTGCAGCGGCAACACCGCCACCATCACAGCTAATCAGCTAATCAACTGCAATGCCAGCGCTGCCCTCAATACGAGCACCGTTGTTGTTAGCTCCTCGTCGTAATCACTGTGTCACAACCAGCATCGCAGAGTCGCCATCATCGTCATCAAGGCCATCGTGGTCATTATCCACATCACCATCTCTATCGTCACCATCACCATCATCGTCATCAACATCGTCATGATCCCGTTTCTCCTCCTCATCATCACCACATCATCATTGACATCATCGTCGGCACCATACCTCCATCGTGTCTGCATCGCAGCGACCACCATCATTGCCGTCTGTATCGTCGTCATCCTCAACACCATCACCGTCAAACACAACATCGTCGGCATCTCCATCATCGGCATCATCTTAAACATCTTCTTCTTCTCCCTTATCAATAACACCATCGTCAGCAATTGCACCATTCTGCGTACTACAGCTGCGCCCTGCGCCATGATCCAAGGAAGAAGATGCGGGCAGCAGCGGTGCAGGGAAGTGGATAAACTAGAGTCCCTGTCAAGAACAATGCTCTGTTCAGCCCGCAACCAGGAACGAGGAGTGTGGGGTGCCTGGACTGGGCGGCATCGACGAGCTGGTCAAAAATGGATCCGGCCTGACAAGTCAGCTAGCTGGACGAGGCAAAACCCTGCATGGATCCTAAAGCCAGGGTTCAGCACTTCCCTGACCTGAGGACGACACACGACTCCGCACTTCCTCTGCCGTGGGACCATCGTTGCGGTAGCCCTGGCATGAACTTAGCTCTTCATCCAGGTCTCACTGACATGATGTTCAGAAATGCTCTTCTACTTGATAGTTTTCTTGGTCACAATGGTATAACAGCCAGTTGTGAGTGCTAATATCCCTTCGATGCTAGTAGTGAGTAGTGGGCACAACGGGCAGGGCACCTATGCCTTCTGCGTGCTCCCATGCTTCTACGACGATGTTCTTGGCATCACATTCGTGCGTTGTTATGTGCTCCTCCACGTTGCAAACAGTCTTCGTGCTTTTGTCTTCGCCAGTAATCGTCGCCGTAGTTCTGCTGGTGCCAGCACATGTGCTTGTAATGCCAGTGACCGGTAGTGTCGCTACAGTGGTCGTAGTAGTCTCGATAGTCGTAGCAGTCCTAGTAGCAGTAGTAGTA